TCTCTCTCTCTCTCTCTCTCTCTTCTCTCTCTCTCTCTCTCTCTCTCTCTCTCTCTCTCTCTCTCTCTCTCTCTCTCTCTCTCTCTCTCTCTCTCTCTCTCTCTCTCTCTCTCTCTCTCTCTCTCTCTCTCTCTCTCTCTCTCTCTCTCTCTCTCTCTCTCTCTCTCTCTCTCTCTCTCTCTATTGTTACTAGCGCTTTCTATCCGCCTCGCCGCGCCGCTTATTCTACATCCCGTAACTCCACTTTCAGAGCTATTGTCCATCGTACGAGTGGTCCGGGCGGGGGTGCTGGGGCGGAGACGCGTGGATGCCCACGGGAAATTATTAGTTGTGAATCTATTCATCTTACCAGAGAAAACCGCTACGGGATATCCTGATACGATTCTCAATACGCTTCGTAATAAAGCTGGACGCGCGCGCTTCGAAATCTCATGCTCTCTATCCAGAGGGCACGCCACGTGCATTTCCGTCGCTCCGGAATAGTAAACGTAAAACTACAGACACGCTTTGATATCGAATGAAAACGGTAAAAATGGATATCGGATGATTACGCGAGCGGAAAAATGAGATAAACGTTAGATACAAATTATGTGTCATGTTCATTAAAGTGTGAAATAAAAATTTCGAACAAAAATAGGAAAATAAGCTTCGCAATCATGATTTCGCGACATATGATATTTTTTTTGTAAAAGGCGTGCATTGTTTCAGCCATTAACATGGTTTTTATTGTATAGTAAATAACGCTTAACTAACTTTTGTTTCAAATGTTCCCTCTTCTCCAAAAATTACGGATTTTGTGTGAAAAGTAATGCGTTTTACGAAAATTAGTTATATTATAAATTTTACGGAACTATATATTGTGGAAAAATTATAAGGGAGAAAAAAATCCGTCGTCGCTCTTTTAGGCAGATGCACTTCGCGCGGTAATTTCATTCGCACTTGTGACACAATAGTAAATGGTACTGCACCGCGGGACCGCAGAACTCCTAATTAGAGCGGACGAGATCGATTTCCTGCGGAGGCCGTAGTTAGAAAACCGGTTGAACGTTCCTGCCTCGTGAGAAGACTCATTGAATATGCTTCTTTTTTTCCAACAAAAAGCATATTCAACGCACTGATTGCAAAAAAAGAAAATAAATTCGCGCAAATCATTGCAAGGTCCGGTATTTCCATTACGTTCCAAAATATATTCACATTTTGAAACGTGTGCAGTATTATATGCATTATACTCCCAACGTGATGTACCGTAATTTTACCATTACATCATTGTACGGAACAATACTAACAACGGTATCGCAAACCCTTGGATTTCACAGTAGCGCAACATGGAGCGAACTGTTATTAAATTTTTGGTTCTGAATTGTACGAAATGTACTCGAAAATGTTATATAATTTATTATACAAACCTAGAACATTATTCTCAGAGAGTTATTTAAAATACATAATTTATTTTCCGCTTTCTATAACCAGACTTTTCTGCTTTGTATTTCAACTAGACATTTTAATCAGGCATTTGCAGCATTTTCTTTCCGCTTTTTGATATATAGCGAAAAAAACGATTTAATACTGTACAAATATTAGCATATCTTATGATTTTTATTAATAAGTACGAATATGACAAATTGCATGTTGTTGATTAATCGGGAAAACAAAATTATCAGTATAATCACGCAACGCGTCGAAAAGCAAAATATTCCCGAGAGATATCTGCTCGCCGGTGAAATTGACAAATTGTTAATACACCGTAAAAATCGTGCGAAGAGCGAATAAATCGTGATACGGCGCAATATCGTAAATTCTAATCAGTACGGCAACACTGGGTGGAAATACGATTATTCCAGTGATCCCTAACGCGGTGAACGCGGAAGGACGCTGCGGCACTTGCAGCCCGGAGATCTCATATCGATAACAAACAGCAGGAACTCTCGCATGAGGTGTCTAATTAGAGCCGATAAGCTTGATTTCCGCGACACGCACGCACACACGCACACATGCAAGCGAGTATGCGAGTGCGCGCGCGCGCGATTGTGTTTGAACAGGCTCGTTGTAGAACAACCATGTTACGGCATTATGCACGGAAATTCGTTCGCAACTTCATTATTAATTGATCGTACGAATCATATCCTTCCCAAACCCAAATCGATTTTTACTCATAAACAGAGTTTACGGTAATTTCAACCGACGTGCAATATGAAAGTAAATGCAGTTTCCGAAATGAGAAAAGCTTTCCCTTTCAAATTTTCAGGTCTGCATCAACTTTAATCAAATAGTTGGTTAATCAAATGAGAAAGTTTGATATATTATTCATTTATATAAGCTATATTTAAGAGATATGCATAGTCATTTAATAATAAGTTATAAATATATAATACGCCAGAGTAGAATTGTTAGCGTAATTTTCTAAAAAAGCTGTAATTTTTGAAAAAATCTTAAAGTTTTTAGAGCCCACGGGCACCATTATGATAATAAAAGCATAAAAATTCCGGTCACGGGTCAATTCCCCTGCGCGGGTGTTTTCTCGAGCGACGCTATTTTTAACTGTAACGTTTCTTGCAGATCACGTGGATCGATGGACTGGGCAACGTGCTACATCGTGGCATCAAAACCACGAAGGAGCCGTACGAAGGACACGGTCCGCTGATAAATGTAAGATCCATCCTGAGAGTGATGCCGCGGAAGGATCACGACAACACAACCTTCACGTGCCAAAGTCAAAATGCCGCGGACCGTACGCCGCAAAACGCCAAACTTCGCGTCGAGGTACGTATATTCAGTAATTAGGTCCAGCCTAATTAGCAATTACGGAGAATTCATCATTTAAGTCAATTTTGATAGCGCTTCCTAGATTTAAGCTTGTTATGTGCATCACAGATATAACGAGTAGTATTCTGTAATAACTCTCTGAACTACCGGCAAGCAACGAGAAATCAGAGAAATAAAATACAAGAAAATGAAGGCGGGGGAAGAGAGATAGAAATCTCGCTTAAAGGGAAATAAAATCACTGCCTTTTGCGCGAGCTCTTTTTATTCGTTGACCGGAGGAAGAAATTAACGCGAGTCGCGCGAAAGCGAGGCCAGGACGGCGGGGGAGGAGGGTAACGAGGGTAACGAGGCGACGTATAATAATTAACGTCGTGTCTTGAGAAGCGGTTAGCGCGCGGTAATCGCCATCCGCTGGCGCAACTTTCGTGCTGCGAGCGCGCGAGTACTTTGGCGCGCTCTCCGGGTACTACTTCCGCCCTCTTTTCTTCAGAGGCGTAGACTCCATTATCCAAAGTGGCAAAGGGAACAAATAGTTTCATGGAAAGGGCAACGAAGTGAACTCGCGGAGATTTTTGCCAAGCAGAACATTCGAATTTGCGACGGCGACAACGACGACGGACGGGCGCGATATTATGAACACCGTCCGTGCCGTGCCGTGCCGCGCCGCGCCGCGCCGCTCCGCGCTGGCCTGCAGAAAATTCTCACGAGTTATTACTTAACTCTTTTACGCCGCGCCGGATATATTGCCTGCGCTTTTCACGACTGCTAATATAAGTTCGACGTTAATATCGCCCTAATTGGAAGCAATTCTTACGTAAGCGAGCTCGAGCGAAATGCGAACTCGTATTTTCTCAACGTGCTTTTTCTTTATCACCCGCGCACGCGTCGATAAAGCGACTTAATTCTCTCGATGGAGCTTCTCGCCGCTATTACATTTTAATAATAGGTTCTTTTGGCAATTTAGAATCGACTTCTGCTAAAGTATCTGTCGTTAAAACACAATTGCTCCTCCTTTATAAATTACCTAATGCGATTTGATCGATTTTTGCCTGGGGTAAATTTAATCAAATACCATCTCTCGTCGCAATATCTTGATATAAACTTTTTAGTGCAGTATTATTTTTTAATATTAAAATTAAATTTTTTGGTATAATAAATCATAAAATTAAATTCATATTAAAGTCAACTCGAGATTTAAAGAATAATCTCTTGTTATTGTGAACTTTTCATATCTTTATTGTACAAAAATTTCATTCTTTATTCAAAATAATCTGTAGATAAAAAGAGAAAAATATTTGACGCATGTGGCGCAACAAAGAACACGTTACTAGTGCCGAAATTACGCGGTAATCCAAAAAAAGATTAAATTAAAAATAACACACGACAAATAAAAGCATTTCCAAAATTAGAATTTTGAACGAATATATTCAAAACTGAATAGCTGAAGTTTCGTTTAATTTTGGGAAAGTGTATCGGGCGTGAACGATATATTACAGGATACCTCCTATTTCTCCCGTGAAATATATAACAAACGCTTCGAAAATTTCAAACGCGTGGTAATGGATATGCACCATTATTATTCCGGACTACGCACGCAGCACATTCCGGATGAGAGCATGACGGTAATATCGAATGGACCGTATTCGATTCCTGCGTCATGGAGTTTAAGAAATGGAGAAAAGCCGGAAACTCGATTTATACGCGTTTTGTTTTCAGGTACGTTACGCACCAAAGGTGTCCCTTTCCAAGATCGATCGCATCGTCGAAGGCTCCGAACTTAGGTTCAAATGTAACGCCGAGGCAAATCCATCCAACCTGGAATACAGGTGAGTGAAACGCAAAAGAAACATCGACTTGTTTTTTTTGCTAATATCGAAAACTAGGAGATTTAAATATCTGATTTCCGATTGAAGTGTAATTTAAAATAATTAATAAGTTATATGAGAAGATCATATTGCATCTCGGCAAGAGTGTACGAAGCCAGCAAAATTATAAAATTAATTATTATTTAATATGAAAATAGAGTAAACTTTATGGTTTACGACAACCCGAGCCGCACTTCTAAATTAGGTCGCCCGCGTTCAATAAGGTCAATATAGTTGAGAGAGAGAGAGAGATAGGATTTCAAAATAGTTGCTTAATAGTTACTCTCTGTATATCTATAATTAATATAACAAGCGGAATCACCATAACAGGACGAGACTAATACGAAGTGGGTCGCAAATATTGATACTAATCAAATTTGATAATATTTGATTTGATGGTAATCAAATGCAATATTAAGCCAATGCGAAAGAGAAAAACGGAAAAGACACTGTTACGTTCTAATTTGCATTAAAATAATTTCCCAATTGTTTTTAAATGTATATTTGTTGAAAAATAATATCAATCTTCGTCTAATTTTAAACTTCCCCTTTTTAATAAACATAATAAAATATGGATTCTATACTTGCGATACTTGCGATCCGGCTCATATCAGCTTTTCTCTTCCGTTAAGCGATCAGTTCTCCTCAAATGTTAAGCTACTTAAAGTTTCCCAAATATCAATAGACTCTCAGCATCGTGTCGCTACAGGTGAGCGACGGCCGTCGACGAAGCAAGCGTGTAAGGACGCGTAAGCAAAACGTGAGTCGCGTTGTTCGCGTACACCGGCTGCGAGCGACAAAGAGAAGGTGGATGATCGATATCCGCCTCTACAAAGAGGACAATGTCAAATTCAGGACGGCGTTGCGCGCGCACGTGTTAACGTGGGCCGCGTTTGCGGGTTTCACCTAGCGGATTCGCTTTGATTGCTTTTAAATTATTCGTTACGCAACATCCCCGTCGGGAAAAAAGAACCGGCCGCCCGATGACGCGCCATATTAATTTACAAGATTATCGGATCATCCCGCGGATTAAATCGGCTCGCCGAAAATGCCATCCCTCGAGAAAGTACATATTGTCATTCTTGTCACGACACTGTTGCAACTTGAAAAAAAAAAACGAAGAACGAGATTCTTCATATGAAGGTTTTGAATATTTAAATATTGTTTTTAAAAATGCAAAATTTTAATATCGTTCTCTTCGTGTTTTTTCTACATTACTCTAGTTTTCATTACGTGAATCTTGTAAATTAACTTTGTAAAATTAAAAGGAAAAACAAACACATTGTGAGTCATAGTGATTTTCTGCGAGAACTGAGATTTAAATCGCGACATAAACTCTTTTCTTCGACATAAACCGAGCGAAAAGCTTTTACACGGATACAAAAGCTCAAAATCGATTTTTTTTGTGTCGCGGCAGTCTTCTTCCGACGTACGATATGTGTGTTGAAGCTTGGTGAAAAAAAAAGAAACTTGACCGGCTTATGGCGATTCACGGATAATAGGATAGACGGAGAAACGAGTAAAGAGCAGCCAGAGGACCACATTGTAGCGACGATAACGAACGTTAGTTGCCAGTCGGTTTAATAGCTTTTATAGCTTTCGCAGCTTTTTACAGCTTTTACACTGGTCGTCGTCGCGACGCGGCCAGTAAAAGAGATCCAAACGGAAGTGAAAGCTGAAACTACGAGAGACCGACGACGTGACTCTCGTTGCTTTCGCACGGCATTGAATAACAAAGACAAAATCATTATCCGCTATGTCGAATTATAATCGTATCAGTTTCTAAATGATCTCGTTGCAGAACGAAAGAACTGTATAATTTTCATGAAACTCTAGGAAGTCAGGTGTGAAATGAAAAGTTCATTGAGCTAATTACTTTTGGATACTAATTAATTTTACGTTGCTTTCACGATTAAAAGTTCTCTGGCAAATGTACATGAAAAACATTTACATTTTTCTCATTATAAAATTAATAATTATGAAAAGTATTATTATAAATAAAAATGTAAATTTATCTTGCGTTGAAAGTTTTTTTTTTTCTTCAATGAGAAACATATATGTAAAACGTTGCAACTCAAAATGGAAATGGAATATTTTCTTAAAGTTTAACTGCATTTTTCTCGAGTACCCTGTAGATGCGTACACGGAAGGTTGATCTTTACCGGAAGATACGAGATGACCTACAGACACCTCAATGTTTATTGAGTCGTTATGGCACAGTGCTCGCACGAGTGTACGTTGCATCGTGCTTTTGCCGACATCTTTGCGAGCTAAATTGTCTGTCGGGTTGCTCCGATAAAATCGATTGCGACGCGCGCGGGAACGAAAGGGGGGATGATGGCAGTGGCGGTGGTGCACTACGGTCTCTCTTTGCTAGAGACACACGAGCTCGGTAAGTCGTCGTCCCAGTTCGATTCGGTTCCTCTCTCGCTCCTTTTCCGCTGATTGTACGCGAAGGCCGTTTCGCCGCTGTGAAAAGCACAGTCTGCCCTCGCCCGTTTATTACCATTCGAAACGACGACGCCGAGGCTCTTTTCGTCGATTGTGCGGCCAAACGATGCTCGAGATAAATCGCTCGGATCCTTCAAGAGGAACGCCTCGGCTGGCAGAAGTCGAGTGGCGGAGCACTTCGCGGTAAAGAAACGTCATAAAGCACGTGTACAAAATGTCCCCAAGCCAACGTTACAAAATTTACAGATGTATTCTTTGTCCAATTTAAAGTTGGCCTTTCTAAATTTCAGGCATTAATCATTTTTAGATTAAAAAGTCAAAATTGAAAGAGATTAAATTAAATTTGGAAAATAGAAATAATGAGTGTAAAATCTTACTCATTTTATATTTTATTAAATTTTTGATTAATATTTATAGAGTTTCTGTTTGAGATTTAATATTGAGATTATATAAATATATAATCCAAAAAATTGTGTCCAAAATTAGTTTGTAAAAAGAAAAAGATATGTTATTAGATCCAATAAAATCTTTGTTAAAAAAAGTCACATTTAAATTAATCGAAAAATACATATAAATTTGACGATATCAATTTGGAGATAAGAATCCTCCTATAAATACTAGACTCAGCGGAAGAAACATTTTTTTTATTCTGGCACCGAATCGCAGAAATAATCGTTTGGCTGCACCGTGCGACTATTAAAAAGTCGTATTGATCCGGAGCGGGAGATAGCAAAAGGCAACGCGAGAAAGTTATAGAATGGTGGAAGGAGAACACGCGAGTTGCGAAAAATGCCTGATAATCCGTGAGTTTTCGGTCCACGACGCTGGCTTATTACACTCGAAAATGCTCGAATTATTACGTAAAGGAAAAATTCTATTTCACGCTTCTCCTTCAAGTGATATAATAGTTTGCTTCCTTCTTTTCCAGATGGTTTATCAACAAGAAAAAGGTCATTGGGGACTACACCACGGAAATGATTATTCACAATGCGACTCGCGAGCTACACGACGCTACCGTGAAATGCGAAGTTTCCAACGATGTCGGCAAAAGTGAGGAAAGCCAAACCCTGGATATAAGATGTAAGTGTGAAACATAATTTCTTTTATAAAATAACCAGTTTGACGGAGACAAATGTTATCCTGAAAACTGTCACGCGTAACATCTGAAAATAAATTTTTATTTACGTATTTTATTTCTTAGATTTCATTTCACGTAATCTAAGAACTCGAGGGACTCCAGAATTAATTTCGTCTTCAAAAATAATTTTCTTTCTCTCAGGAGCATCTCCAGCACAGTAAATTAAAGATACAATCACGTAGAGATATAAAATAGAGTAGCTCTGCGCGTTCTGCACGCGCGCTGCTCACACGAAGCCGTGCTAAAAGAAAATTTCGTTTTACCGTAAACTACTTACAAGCCGGTATATTAAAGGCGCAATCGCGTAATGATATAAAATAGAACGCCGCGTTAGCACACGCGGAAATGCCGGTCCCGGAATAAGCCGCTACTAGAGTAGACGGGCGCGGTAAGGAAGTAGCATTTTTCCGCGAGTTCATTTCACAAAACTGACCCGGGGGTTAAAATTGAATTTCCGCAGACGGCCCGCAGTTTCGGCACCCGCCGGTCTCCGTGGAAACCCATTACGGCGCCACGGAGATTTTGCAGTGCGACGTAGACGGGAATCCGACGCCGGAGATTTTGTGGTACCACGAGGACTCGGAGCGAACGGTTGCCACGAGCCCGAATATAAGTGTCGTTGTCAGTCCTGACACAGCCGGTCGTTACTACTGTAAAGCCCGCGTGCCTGGTTTCCCAGAATTGACCGGTTTCGCCAACGTCTATATTCGCGCTCCACCGACCATAGTGTCACAGAGGACTCAATACGTGCCCGACGAAGGAGTGGTCAAGGTACGTACACTCTATATTCTTCGACGTCCTTCGATCCGCGACCGATTAAATATTATCGATAACGCGACGGTCGCCGCGCTATCGAGCGTGAAGAGACGCGACCCGCGGGTAATTTCTTGAGTGCTGCCGCCGCTCCGCGTATGCGCGCTCGCGCATCATGAATTATTATTACGGAACTACCCCGCCACCGGAAAGATCTTTTGAGCCGTGGGCGGCAGTTATCAGGAAGCACTCAGTATAATTTACTCTGGATAATTTAGCTTCATCCGTGGTATGAAAATACGCTTAAAAACTTGTAAAACGAACAATATACGAAGTCTTATTGTGTTAGATGACCTTGCGATAAGTTTCTTCCTATAAAAAGATCTGTAAAAATGTGTTTCAAAGTAAGTGACTTTTGAATGATAATTATTTAATGACAAACATTGTGATTATATAAATATCTATTCGTAATAGGTGCGGCGGATTTACTAAAAGTTCATCCAATTTTACTAAAATTATATTGATTTCAATTCTTGTTTGAAAAAAGTCTGAGCTAGGTGTTTGCGGATATCTATCGATATAAACTTTTTTTTTCGTGTTTTGATACAGTGTAACTCATACCCGAAGCTAGTCCAAGCATTTCGCTTTAAAATACCACATATACGTTTCTCGCTGACACACAGTTCGCGATGATCGCGCAATGCTGTTTTCGCATTTTTCTCTCTACCGATGCTTGAAACACTTTTAAAAGAGACAGAGAGAGAGAGAGAGGCGCAAATCGCTCGGTTGACGAAAGCGAAAGACGAAAGGGACGCAAGGGGAGGTTCGCGCTTAACCGCAATTTTTTTATTCCACCGCCATTTTGCCCGATTTGCTTCCCAGGTTAAGTGCACCGCGATATCCGTGCCAAAAGCGGAATCGGTGGTGTGGAGCTTTGCCGGCCGCGAGCTCAATTTCACGTCGAACAATACGCCGTTCTATGTGCAAGAGGAATACATGGCAGAGAGAGTAGTCAGCACTGTCACCCTGCTGGATCCCATATCAACGTATTTCGGAGATTACAATTGCACAGTAACAAACAGCTTCGGCACGGATTCCGTCATCATCAAGCTGACAGCACATAGTAAGTTTGATATCGTCTTTACCGTATTATCTTTCTTATGCCTTATCTCCTTTAATAAGTTACCAAAAACATCGTGGATTTGAGTACACAAAATAATCGATAAACTCATTTCGCGAATCATTTCGCGAAGAAAACTACTTTTTACAAACATTATAAAACAGACTTTTTTCTAGAATGATTTAATATCTTTATAAAATATTAAATAATTTAATATATTAGTTAAATATTTTATATTTTAAAAATATTAATATATTTTAATTAATATTCAATAATAAATTAATAAATTTCTTTTCTGATCTCAATATTAAAATAGCTTTTAATAATATATCTTATTTTTATTCATTCAAAATTAGTTTAAATTTTTCTACTTTTATTTAAAATTAGTTTAAGAATCAAATTTTGTTATATATCTTTATTTAATTAATCTTTATTTTATTCGATAAAGTATTTATATTCTTATCACTTAGAAATTGTATATCGCGGTACACGTATTTTAGTTAAAGATAAATTATTTTATAGTTTGATACGAAGGCAATTATGTTTTTATGCAAACTAAATGTATTTATTACTAAATGCTCTATAAAAATCATGTTAGATTTAAATTTACTCACCATAGATCAGTCTTTCGCGGATCAATCCAATGCTGAATTCTCCATTTTTGTTTCTTGATATTGTATTTACGACGCACTCATGAATTTTGATTCCGCTAATTCACGGATGACGTGAAACGCACGTATTTGTGGAGAAATTTTTGTGACAAACGATTATCTGTCGACACGCAACCGATATCGATCGCGGTCAACGTGTTTCATTGTGATTTAAGAACTCTCACATCTATATATCAAACTAATCGATCGCCCGTAAATACATTCGACACTCCCGATTTCTCACGCGCGACACTTTCACGACGACGAGAAAATTCCGCGAAGTTCGTGACCGAATGCCACTCATAGCAAATGTGAGCACTAACTGTTACCCGAATATTCGAAACGAGCGGAATCATCAGTCTCTATTAGTGCATTGCGGCGGTTTCTCGACACTTCTTTCCATACATCTATATGCTCTGGATGGTACTCGTGATGCAAACGCTGCAAATATCCATATATTGTAAAACAGCAATTCAACCAGATTCGGCGAGGCAGCAAATGCTGATTACGAATACTGAGAAACGCGTTGATTGCAGTTGTGTGGGTTAACTGATACGCCGAGATGCTCGCCTATTACTAGATTCGATACTCCCGATATTCGTTCGTTCACGAAATTCACTTTGAGAAGAGTAAAAACGTGAGAATACGGAGCGATCACAATTCGACTGTGCATCGGAGACGTGCAATATAAAATGGCCGACGGGTGATTATTTGCAGACTCGACAACGTCAAGTTATAGCCAACTTCGTACATTTACACGACGCGAGGATTGGCGCGAAAGGATGGAAGTACGAATCGTTGAGGAGCATCTCAATCGCGTTCACGTGAAATATCGCAAAGTAATATATCGAGATAATTGTTCATCACTCGAAACGATATTTTTCATACTTGTCGAAGCGAAAATTTCGCTTTAAATGAGTAAAATAAAAATGTAAAATGATCGCAATTACAATCCGATGATGCGCGACGCAAATTAAATAATTCTTGGAAAAAATAAATTGATAAATTTAATTGATAAATTTGAGAGTATTTAATCGGAGACAATTCTTATCGTTACTTTCTAAGTGCGTTTAATTGAAATTGAACATTTTTGACGCACTGTGAATTTACTACTAGCGTCGCTTTTATGGCGACTGGAAAATTCCACGAAATGATTCGATACAATCACGGCAAACGCGAGCACTACCCGCATATTCGAATATTCTAAATGAACGAAATTACCTGTCTTGATTAGTTCATTGCGGTAGTCCTTTGATGTTCCTCAACGCAACTCCGGATGCTGGATAGCATTTGTAATATTCCCGAATGAGCAAACGTTACGAGGTGTCAGTATCGAAAAACCCATCTTTTCTAATGGCGGTTCGACGCGACGCGACGTGACGCGAAACGAGAGACGTCGATTATGACACCGAAAAATGCGTTGATGCGGTCGTGCAGACTGATTAATACAGCAACTTAATCGCTCATCACAAGATTTAACGCTATTGACGTTCATTCGTACACGAAATTCGCCTGAGATAAAGAAATACCAAATTGTAAAATGATAATATTTCAACTACTCACCGGTAACTTGCGACACGAACTGACAAGGAGCTCGACGTCTATTCAGATTCGGCAACGTCACGGTGACTAACTTCATGCGTTTACACGATGCGGGAAATTCTCGAGCGAAGAGATGAGAATACGAATTGTTGAGAGACGCGTTAATCATGTTCGTGAAGACCAAGATAATACGTTCAGACGATTGCCCAACATTTGATTAAACATTCCAGACACTTTATTGTACACGAAATTCGTCCGAGAGATAAGTAAAAAAGACGCGAAGATGCAAAACAATTGCAACTCGACTGTGTGTTGGCAATATGCAGTCTTGCAGTCTGTGCAGTCTTAGAAAAATAAATCTGACAGATTAAAACGTCTACTAGGGCGGTATTCATAGTCCGTTCTTATATTTAAAATCGTCTTAAGCACGGACTTATATTCGCTCTCTTCGTCACACATAGATTGTGTCTGACGAAGAGAGCGAATATAAGTTCGTGCTTAAGACGATCTTGAATATAAGAACGGATTATGAATACCGCCCATAATTCACCAATCAGAGACAATAGCTACTTTATGGTTGTTACATAGTTATTTTTTTCTCAACCGCTAAAAACGCGTTTAATTAGAATTGGACAATTTTATCGACGCAAAAACTGATAGATCATCAGATAAATATTCGGTACTGCCGACTTGTCGCTAGTCACGCTTTCGTGACAGAAGAACATTGCTAAGTGGGAGATAATTCATGGTGGACAATAGTGGACACAAGCTACGATCGTCTGAATATTTTAAGTGAATTTGATTATCGGATTACTTGTTCCGAGTATTCCATTGCAATGGCCCTTCAATACTGCCTTTCAATATTGCTCGAAGTTCCGAATACTGGATAACACTCATAACTCGTCGGATGAGTAAACGCTGTGAAACACCCGCATTAGAAAAGGTATCCTTTTGATAAATGCCGGCTTGTCGAGACGCGAAGCGCGAAGTGCCGATTACGAATATTGAGAAACATGTTCATCGCGGTTGTGCGGGACATGATACATCGAGACAATCGTCCATCGTTATATTCAATATTTCTGACATTTAAACACGGAATTTGTCCGAGATGGGTATAAAAGACGTGAGAATGCAAAAGTGATCGCAATTCAATCATGCTCCAACAATGCACGGCAAAACTATTTAACGATTATCGAATTCGATGTCATTGCGATTAATTTCACATATTTATGCGTGAAAGAGAAATGCCTCTTAGGGACACAATACCTTATTAAAACATTAATTAGAATATTAATATCGCATTGAAATAAATTGTTAAATTATGATTGAATTATTTGAGTTAAAATTGTTTGATATTTTGTCTGCTGAGTCATGTAAATATGTGAGTATTATGTTAAGTACACAGTTTATATTTATGCCATTATTTACTCTAATAATAGCGATGTATAAGTAGGGTGTAAAATATTCCCCATGGTGAAAAGTAATAGCATCGATCGGTTGTTTCGTTGTAACTCTCATAATTCAAGGATATTGTTGTCGTTAATACGTAATTTTAGATGCATATCCAACAGAGATGCCATACAAATATAGCTCATGTTTGTATTGACTAAGTAATCATTGAAATGTGAAGGTCAGGATTACGATATCTTTAGAAGTGAAGAAGTCTTAATTTTTACAAGTAGCTATTATATTTTATATATGTAGAATAGAACAAAAAAGTTTGTAATTCTATTATTTATGACATTTTAATATTTGATATGTATTGATGCATTTCTCTCTCTATGGCATCATTTTTTAATAATAGATTTTTTAATTAATTTTTGTAATATTTTTATTTAAAAAATTTATGATATTTCCATTTCAATATTTTTGTATCAAATGTTAAAATATCAAATAATAGAATTACGAACTTTTTTCTCTATTCAATAATATATAAAATTCGCAGGAACAGATGTAAGTCCAATAAACCCGGATAGCAGTGTGTTATAAATCGATTCACTTCTCCAAGCAGATTGGAAGTACGTAAAGTAGTTTAAAGATGATTAGGGGTTGAAATATTGCCAGAGCCTCTTACCGATGTATATTCAGTAGATAGATAACGCTGGCGAAATATACAGATATTTCACATATTTTTAAAAATCAAACAATCGAAATATTTAGATCTATTTAGACTTAACTGGATGCCGTTGCGTTTTATTATTATTTGCAGTAATATTTGAAAAATCTGTAACAATTATACAGTTGAAATTGCAGAGGTTTTCACTGGTTCGTATTAGAATTATTTACCACGACATAACATTCATAACTATTTTGGTGCACGTAGATTTTTTTTGCACAAAACTAAATGAGAAATTTTTTTAACAACGCAATAATTTAAATCCTTTTGCAACGAAGCTTTTATGCGCTTATAATGCCCGGGGAGATCACAATTTGTAAGAGTAATGCGGCTACGGTGGAATGCTTTGTCTCTATTCGTACTTCTAAAAGATCAGAGAGATTCTAGATCAGCTCATTTGCACGGCCAGCTCTGCGGTTAATGATTTGCAAACTATTTTAATCATTGTCTTTAACGTATCAAATAATTGACTTCAATAAAATGATTCTTTATCAGTGTACAGCAAACTTTATAGACTGTTAAAGTTGCATATAACTTTATTCATTTTACATTCATTTATGTGTACAAAGAGAATTTATAAAAATGTAGAAAAAGTGATACGAGTCAGAAAAGAAATTGATTTTAAATGCTACTTGAACATAAATTATGGAGTTATATATATAATACTTCAGCTATAAAAGTATTTTAAAGAAGATACAAACACAGAGACATAAATTGTCACTGTTTAAGAGACGTCTGGAATTGAATGTTGTTTGACTTATATCACTTTTTAAGCGAAGGCACAATATATTAATAAGCAGCGCGCGTTGCTCTTCATCTGGTAAACGAGGTTTTAACTAGCCATGACGCTTAGCGTTGATTCCAGTCGATTGGCAACTGATCTTGATCATTGGTGGCCTGATTGTCTGCGTGATCCTCATTGGAATAATAGTCATACTCATTCTACAATGCCGCGATCGCATTAAGCAGCCACGACCGCGGACGACGCAAACTCAAGAGACTGATATGCGTAAGTAATTATTTTTAATAAGAATTCCACTTTGAATCTGCAAACTGTTGTAAAAATAATTGTGAATTTAGGATAAATAAGAATATGCCAACACAATTTTTAATAGTTAGCCAGATACGTTTTAAGATTTTTAAAGTGCACCTTTATGTATATATTTATTGCAGTTTTTTTATGTATACATTAATTGCAATGTTTTTTGTATATTAATTGCAGTTTTTTTTTCTTTTTATCTATGTAGAAGAGACCGATTCCAACGCTGATCGATACAGAGAAAGCGATAGGAGCAGCAACCTCTCGGATGTCAAAGCGGACATTCGAGCGGGATCTAGTGTCAGCAACGCGGAAAGTGTCACGGCTCTTGACAGTGAAGGTGAAGGAAGTACCAGGGGAGTGAACGCCTTGGCGCTTGCTGGGCCGGTGCCGAATCCATTATCCGGTTATCGTTACAGTGCCGATTACACCGAGCCATCTTTTCCACCGAAAAATAACGTAAATAATAATTTTGTTGTGATGTTTTAATTTTGGAATATGTTAGTGTCTCCAATATTTTAGCGATTATAAAATATTTTTTATTCTTTTTTAAATCAGTGAATTCTAAAAGTAAGATTATGGCGCTTGTTTCTATGGCTTCCTGTAGGATGGTAGTAACAACAACGGTTACGTACCATACGTTGATTACACTCGCGATTACATGCCGCCGACGACACAGAGCGTGGGCGCCTCACGAGAATCCTTGAGTAGGATATCGTCAAGTGGTATTCTGTCATCGAAAAAAATTGGACTCAGCTCGGCCAATTTGGGCACCTCGACCCCGCAGACAACGCCAGTGATTGATCCACGATTTTCTGCGACATACGGCAATCCCTACCTCAGGTAAGGCGACATATATAGTAAGCTTTAGGCTTATTTATATATTATATATTTATTACAAAATATAACAATTTGTTGTTCGCCATTCTTTTCTAATTGGCTCGATTACATAATCTGTGAAAGGTGCGATAGCGTCAGTTAATATAATAGCTCTTCAATGTAAGCCGAGGAAATAACCTCGGCTGTGCTCGATCAAAGTTCCAAAATTTCTGAAAGTGTCAACATAGTCACAGGAGCTTTAGATTGAGCTCGCGCGGATGCCTCAGACTAATTATAATTGGCTCGTGCCATTGATCGGCCGTGGATACCTTAGGCAGTCACGTTCCGTTTACGTATACGACACGCGGGACGTCGCGCGGTGCTTGTCATCCCCGTGCGCGAGAATCTCGCGCCGTACGTGCCGGGAATGCGTTCATCGTGAACGACTAAATTAGATATGAGAGTGAAGCGCGGTTGCACCTTGCGCGAGCGCCGGAAAATGCTCTTCTCCCTTAAAAATATTACGGAGGCCCGATGATTAAAAAATCAACCAAGTAGAGAGAAAAGTAGAAAATTCCTCAGAAAACAACGCGTAAATTCCATTCATTTTAAATTAACGCGAATACTATCTACAATTTCTTCCGTCTAAATAACTATGTACCTACTGAATTTAACTGTTGATTTTTCAAGAATTTTTAAAATTTGTATTTTGCTCCGTTGAGCTGTTGTTCTTTTCAAAATTTTATACTTCCCTGCCGAAAGATGATCTCGAAGAAAGATCCAAGTATCTCACTGTTGTGTTTAGATACAGAGTCTATACTTCACTATCCGCATCTGGCTCGTACGTGCCTTCCCTTCTCCCTGTTTACTTTTCTCTGCCAGGAATGCAAACGGTAACAATTTCACGTGTTTTGTTTCAATTCGGACTCAGACCCAAAACTACTTCCGAGTCAAACAGGTTCGAATACGAATCGATGCGACTCTTTTCTAGTCTAGTTTCAGTCCGAGAACCGAGGGAAACTACGGAGCGAACTCGTTACAGCTTCCGTTCAGGTCCGCGGTTATAACATAGTTATAGAACAAAAGCTGACCGACTGTCGATGCAGTCTGCCTGAATCTTCCTCTGTCGAAGCAAGGAGAAGTGTAGAAATCGCAGAGAAACACCCCTTTACAATGACAGACCTCGGGATCAAAATCGAAACTTGGAAATTTACTATCTTGAAGCGGTTCGCATTTCAATTTCAACCCGCACATAACGTTCCTTTATTTCTTCCTATAATGGATCTTGATAATTATTTTGTAACTATTTAACTAAGATATTTCAGTAATTATTAATTATAAATCTCATTTATTTTATTGTTTATATTATAATTAATGTTACTTACAATGCAATAATGCAGTAATGAGAATGCAATGAGAGTTAAGGCATTTATGATGTTTAATGTGCAATTAAAACCCTGTTACAAATGATTGAATTCAGTTACTGTTTGCATTCCTGTTTCTCTCTTTCTATCTCTGATTTAAATTCCAGCACGTGGAAAAAAAGTCCGATTTCCCGTCACTAACACTGCGTTTTCTTTCTTACAAACAAACACAGAATGTCAGCGGCCGAGCAGCTCCGACACGCGCCGCACACAGCCGTGCCGGGAGTCACGCCGGCACCGCCGCCGTACACGCAGGCAATGAGAATGAATAGCTTGAATACCTTAAACGGCGCTGGCCCGCAGGTTGGTACAATGGTGAATGTATGTCAAATTCCTAAACGTAGTTACGCTGCCGCCTCCGACGTCGTAGTATTGCGGAGCTTCGTGCAACTTGGAGTAGGACGGGAGTAAACTGTCAATATTGCAAAGCCATTGCAACTGCGCGCGCGCTACTTTTATTTTGCAACGCTAATCCTTCCCCCGTACGGCTATTCCAATTCCCCGTTGCACGTATTTCTGCAACATAAATTGTTTCTGCCTGTTCTATCTTTCGCGCATGTTCTCGCGTAAGATGTAATGCGCCAAGCTCTTTGCGAGAAAAAGAATTACAAACGTAATAATCAGCCAAGTTTTATTCAGTTTGAATTACATAGTTGAATTTGATTGATATTCTGAATTAACTATAGAGTAAGTATTAAAGAATGTATAAATGCAAGTCTCACAATCAGTACACAATTAGATATTATAAATGTGCATGAATTAAATTAAATTGATTTGCTTCTTATTTTACATATTAATACTAGTTTTCTGCATTTTAAAAATTAGCTGATAAAATTTGCAAGTTAATTTATTATTTTTTATTACTTAATCAGATATGCTAATTATATATAATTACAAGCAGCAAAATAGTAGTATAAGTCAGTGATAAAAGTTACATATTTAAAAAGGCCTGATACTTAATTATTGTAGCAAAATACACAAATTTTCTGCTTTTTCTTTATAATAATTAGAAGAACTACCATAATGAAAATAACTGAAATAGTTAAAATTTACATTATGTAGTTTTACAAACTCTTTTAGTTTCTAAAATGAGAAAAAATACGATTTACATCATCTTTTCGCTCACATAGTACTCGCTTAGTGTTTTCATGTTGTATAATTCAATCTCTGCGCTATTTAAAGCTTTATAGCTTAATGGACATAGATGGAAACATTAACTGAAATATCTATATTATATTTCTATAGAAATAATGTAATTAAATGTAAATGTTATACATATGTCATGTAATATTGAAATATTAATTGTAATTCAACGTTTATAAGTGTATGTGTGCGAAACAACGGTATATCAAATATCTCTCAAAAAGGGAGAAAAATTATTAATTATTCTTTCTTGTGATTAATATGTTCACTAGAAAATGAAAATTTGTAGAATTTATCATTCATTTTTTTTGCATTTTGCTCCATTTAGATGTATTACTAAATTTTGCGTTTGCAGCGAAAAATTATTAAATGATTAAATCCTACATTATTAGTGTTAGAACTACAGAGGCTTGTACATATATATTTTTTTATACAAAAGACTTAAAACAAATATGTAGATTTATTGCTTGATGCAAAGAAGGTAAAATCTTTTTTTTTAAGTGTAAAGAGGAAAATACTAAAGTAAAAGCAGAGTAGTATTTGTAGAAAGATTTAACAATGCGAGATATTAAATTGCCGACTGTAATTCAGAATTGCGCGCTCCTTTCTGTTTTGCAGGCCCCATTATCAGCGCACTATATCACCGGCGGTCCGAACGGCGCCATGGCAACGGTAAAGCGCACGTCTGCAGTAGGCACGTTAGCGACGCACGTATGAGGCCAGGGGATCTATCCGAATTAGAACCGTCGATACTCGGGCCTAACTGAAACCACCTTCGAACTCGGCCGTGCCTTCGAGACGCCCCGCTATTCGCTCGGTTCCACACGCTTGAGCGCAACGGCGGGATCGGCAACGCGCGATGCGCGACGTCTTATTGATGGATCGGAACGAAGCCAATATCGTTACGACGAAATCCGCTACGCTCACGACACGGAACGTTATAGAGCGGAATGCGAGCGACTTCTCGGGCGAAGGTCACGGGGCAGCAAGGGTCACGGCGGGGTCACGGACCGAGCACAACGAATGACCGAGAACGGCGAGGCGCTCAAATACATCGAGCTGGTGCTTCGGCAGCTACGGAGAGCCAGCAGAGATCATCAAGAGCTCGTGCGACAACGTCACGTGGACTTCCAATACGAGATCAATAAGCAGATCAACGAGAGAGCCTGGCATCAGTATCATCGAGAGAGACGTGAGGATTCGACAGACGTGCCTAGAACTTGGTCCAGGTCCTCGAGCAGTCCGTGGGAATCGGACTTGACCTTGAGGAAAGCGCGGCCAGACGTTACGACGAGGTTGCTAACGAAGAGGAGGAATTATGGTGGAACGGCGCAGAGCACAGTCGATATTCTCGGACCAGGTCCTGCGCGATCACACATCCAGGACGGAATAACCGCGGCCGCTTACCAAGAGATGAAATATATTCCTGAAAGTGTCGACTGGAAGGAAACGCGGGAAGCGTTTGGTGCGTGGAGTCTGCCTGAACCCTCATCGAGCAATGATCAAAGGACATCCTCCACCGTCATTTAGCGTGGGAAATATTGGCTTTGTGCAGGTGGAATTCGCCGATTCTCACAAAGGCTGCGGAAGAGCATGGAAAAATTCAGAAAATCGAGATGTGAATCGGAGGCTCTCTCGTAACAGGAGAAGAAAGCATTGACGTGAAAATGTCAATGAGCGCGACTCGTTCGTGTTAATGATACGCTTGCGCTTGAACTGCACCTGAAATCAAACTATCTCGCTGCGGTAGTGAACGTTGAAGAGAAACCGGCCGGTGCGGAAGGGACGCCGATATCGAAGGGAACGGACGTACTCTCCTTTTGGGTCAATAAGATTAGATTTTTAGGAAGAGGAGCGCCGTGAGTGGTGTGCTCGGAGGAGGTTCGTGAGTACGAAGGGGGGGGCGATGTTGGTTGGGTTCGTGGATCGAAGGTACTACTCTTCGGTCGGTGGCGAAAACAGACCACTCGGTATCGACAATCTTCTATTGACGTACTTTAGATCTTCTATATAATAAGCGTTTAATAAAACTCGCTCGAGCGGAAAGCGACGAGAGACGGAAAGTCCGAACGAATCACGTCGCGAATTGTTGCTGTCGCGGTGGTGGCCGAATACCGGGAAATAAATCAACATCGTACAACGCGATTACTCTCGCGAGACGTCAAAGGGTCTTTTTAAGACTGAGAGCTTTATCGTCAGATGTCGTTTTCTCGGTAATTCGCAAGAGACGCCAACCGAAGCTGGGTTTACATCTGATATCCACAGCGTGACAGTTCCGTTTGACATTTTTCCGATTAATGAAAAAATAATTTTTGAGATTTCTCTTTTCAGAAACTCGTTGCGAATCTTACTTTGCTCATTAGCATTCTCTCACTGTGATGCAACGTTCGAGATATTTCAACGTTCACGTTGCATTCACCGGTCATACGCGAACGCAACGGATGTCAGGCGTAAACCTACCGTAACGGGGAACGTCTTGGCTGCCACTTCGATGTTTACTGTGTCGCGCTGCCTTTTTGTATTTGTAGGGAAAAATAAAACAGAGAGATTAGCTTGTAAGGGATGTTCTCGTGCAGCATCCGCGGACTAAGGGCGCACGTTAAGGATAATGACGACGCCGCGGCGGTCACGTGGCTTACGTGGCTCACAACAAGCCGCGATAAGTTCGTGACTTCGCGTTTCCTCCGGCCTCAAGTTCCACGTGCGACGGGCAGGTAATAGTAGCGCGAGTCCGCGCGAAGGGATCGATACACCGTGTGTTTTGCGGTTGTTCGCATTTGTAAAATAGATAGCGAAATCATTAGTATATATATATATATATAATATATATATATATAAATATATTATACACCTGTTGTCAATATGAGCATAGGGCCTATATATAGTTTGTCGGCACTACGTGAAAGCGAATTCTATTTGAAATAAGCTCGTTCGCGGGATGGGACGGCTTTGTGTAAATAACTATTGATAAATGATTATTATATACATTAAAAAAAAA